GAACCAGCAGGGAGGTGAAAGGGCTCACACAGGTTGGGAGAGACGCAGCAGCTGAAGAGGGAACCAACAGGGAGGTGAAAGGGCTCACACAGGTTGGGAGAGACGCAGCAGCTGAAGAGGGAACCAGCAGGGGAGAGGAGCTGAGCTGGAGGGATGGCTCAGAGACACTTCCAGCGAAAACAGTGGGGAGGTTTCAGGACCTCCTGTAAGAACACCCACTCTCGCCGGAAACTGTCACGCAGAGATTCCAGAAGACGTGTTTCCGTTAAGGAGCTTTTATGTTGGAAGCGATTACGAAAGCAACCACTGTCGGAATCTGCTAGTGACTAGAGTAGCCATGTCTGAGGGGCTCCGTCACAGACAGAGGTTTGGGGACTTGAACAAACTCTGAGGGGATACGATTTGACGCACAAGCAGCTCATCATCCCATCACATTGGCCCATTACTGGTCTGCTTTATTTTTTGGCTCAGAAATGGAAACAAGAGGAAATACCGACGATTCAAGAATGGAGAATGAAATTGACTGACTATGAGGAACTGGACAAACTGACCGGGAAAATAAGATATGCCCGAAACCAAAAGTTCATCGAGGATTGGGGAAAATTTGCAGACTATCTGAAAAATATATGTGAGGTGCAAGCAACGCTAGTGGGGTTTCAAGAAGCACTGTAAAATTTTAAGAGGTATTGCTGAAAGTAAATAGAAAAGGAAGGGAAGACAAATGGCAATGCAAATAAAGGAATGCGTACTGAAGGGTAAAAATGGATGATTACCAGAGAAGTTGAAGGAAGTCCAAAATTTGTATTTTGTTAAAATTAGGTAAAATTAGGATAAAATTGTATGATTATATTGAAAACTAATAAAAATTTATTTAAAAAAAAAGTCTGCTTTATTTTATCTCCATTCACCACTGATAAATAAAAAATGCCTGCAACTTTTGTTCCTTAAAAAAAAAAAAAGGATTAAAAAATGCAGAAATAGCTGCCCCTGCAGGATAGGTAAAGCCTACCAAATTACAGGCAAATGAGGCTTGGGGCTTTTGTGTTGTGCACCTTAAAATTTCCTTTTTTTAAAAAAAAAAAGGGGGGGGAGGTGCAAATCCTTCTGAGGGCATGAATCCAGCCAAATTTCAGAAGGATAACTGCAATAGCTTTTTTCAATATGGACCAGAGTGTACTACATGTCAACCTATTTTGTAATTAACTGGCAAAGGCTAAATAAATAATAAAGTTATGTTAAAACTGAATTTGTTATGATAAAAAAACACCCTGAAATGGTAGCTGAAATTTTAACAAGCCCACAGTATAGTCTCAGTATATAAATTGTTGATGTTTAACCTATGAATATACTTTATTCTGTGCCATATGGCAGGACAGCATGGAAATTTGCACGTTTTATCAGCATTAAAAGTGAACAAACAAACGAAACAAGTTATCTCATACCAACACAGTTTTTCCCATCAGTAGTTAGTTCAAATCCAGCATTGCAAATGCATTGGAAACTTCCATCAGTGTTCACACATCGGCCGTTTTTACAAAGCACGCCGTTCTGGATACATTCATCAAGATCTGAGAGGGGTGGGGGGAAACAGAGAATAATAACAATATAATTATCAACTAGTTTCAAGGAGAAAACAACAAACTGCTTCAGACCACTGGGCCAAACCTCAGGTTTACATACCCCTTACTTAATGAAAATCATATTTTTCAATTTTGCTGTTGGAAAGCAAACATGAAGCAGTTTGTCAGTATGTTTGAATTCTGTTTACAGATCCAGACTTGACACCACCACTGTCCCACGACTTAGTGCAATGGAACTCACATAGCTAAATTTAGCTAGATTGTGTCCTGTACATTTGAGATGTGAACCCTATAGCTTTAATATATACCAAATATCAAGTATTTTATCTGTCCACAATCACTTGATTTTTTAAATGCAAGCAGATTTGAGAAAATCTGCTCCTGTAATAACACTTCTTTTCTTTCTTTTTGTTAGCATCCATCTGTCTCGAGAGACAATAGTGTGTGCCTCTGGGGGAAAGATGAACCGCTGAAGAATTACAGCGCCTGCTGTGGCTGCAGAGACTGGTGACTCATAACTGCTACTTCCCACATTGTTTTTGCTGTGTTAGTAGCACTGAACTCCGGGGCACAAGCCCGGACAGTGTGTATGGAGGTCCTGGGCTGGCCCAAATGACAAGACCTCCCTGTCGGTCTCACTGATATGGTCCAAAGGAAAGTACAGCGATACATTTGGCACCAGCTTGGCTGCAGCAGGCGCCAGAAGGAGGCGTACAGGGCACCATCCAACCATTTTACGGACTCCCATTCCAGATTTGTGTAGGGTTTGTAAATACTACATCACTGTCACCGTTTGCTGAAAAGGCGATTCAAAATCGTTTTGATAATCTGGGGGAGATCAAACTCAGGTCAAATATAAGCACGAGTAATTGAGGAAGTATTGGCCTTCTTACCAATGCAAGCCTGCTTTGTAGGTGTTCTCTGGAAACCTGTATGGCATTTGCAATAATAAGAGCCAGGTGTGTTCACACAGTCTCCATTAGTGCATGGATTTGATATGCACTCATCAACATCTGTTGATAGCAGAAAAGAAGACAATCAGATTTCACGAGTTATACAAAAAAGCTCCTAACAAGTACAATTTCTGAACAGAGAAATAAATTTCACTTTCTTCAGCAGAAACTGATTCAACACACTAATCTAAAAAAAATTGCTTGCACCATGATTCTCAGTATACAGTCATTACCTAATGCAGCCCACTCAGTCTGTTTTCAAAAATATGCAGCATCTTATGCTTCTTAAATAAAAAAATAAAATCTAGGTAGAGAAAGAAAATAAAGCAATGAAGAAATATAAACTTGTCACTAGATTACTAGGACTGAATCACAGAGTTATTGTTTCTCCATCATTAGTTTGCCTTTCTGTGTTTTGGAGATGTGCCTGGCTGCTGATTTTAGGATAGGTTCAACACACTTGGATCATGCGGAAAAACAAAGTATCAGGATTGACAAACACATAGCATCACAGCAGTCAAATGCACTCACAAGTCATGGCTCTTCACATGGAGGAGGCTGCCAAATGTAGCTTAACTACAGAAAAGCAACCATGCGAGCCTATTACTTGCTGAATATAATGCTACCCCTTGTTTCTGTTTATGGACATTTCCTTAAATCAACAACCATTCGTATTTATGATTTTGAATAAAGTGTTTTAGTTAACAGCCTGAGCACACACCTGGGAAGAGGTTAAGCAGCTGTTTATGACACAGATTTTCATATGGCATAATACTGAGCATGTACAGTTAGCTTCCTTCCTTCCTTCTTTTTGCAGCGGCAATTAGATCATGCACAATGTCTTCCTTAAAGTGGGAGAACTGTGTACATACTGTAATGAGCAGTGATCAAATGAAAAAGCCCCCGTCCCCATCTATGTAGGATAAACCTCCTTATTACAGAGGTAAAATGGAGAACAGTTTAAGAAACCCATTTCCATTTCACCTACGTTGTAGGAGCTTCTGGGACCTCGAGTACCTATCTGAACAGCAGTGAAGCTGACAATACATTCTGAATCACTTGTGATTTTCATCTCTGTGGTGAAAAGGCAATAGTTTCTTGTCAGAGCATTCCCATTCTGCTCATTGTCTTTTTCCTTCAGCCTGTCCTTTCTTCCTGGGATCGCTTTCAAACTCTTGTTGCGTACAAAATTTGATGCTTCTTTTGCCCTTCTTTTTCTGGGTTAAGTCCTTAAGTTTTAGCTCTGTTGTTCCTTTCTGGAAACTTTACAGTGAGCTCCTGTTAGTTTGGCTAAAGCACTGGTTTTCTGAGCTGACTGTAATGAGCAAATGGTAGCCTGTCCTCCAGCAAGAGTGGAACTAGAGGCTGCAGAGGGAAGCTGTTCCCTTCAGCACAAGATTATCCCCCAACCCATCACCCACAGTTTCAGAGGGGACAACTCTCATGATACAGAAACAGATTCACATCCGTGTTCCCAAAGCAAGCATGGAAACGGGGCTTCTCTTTGCAGGCTTTGTACAAAAACTCTCCAAACTTGTCTACCATGTTGCACTTCCAACTCCCAACTTACGTAGGGATTATATTCCAAGGAACCTCGTTTATGTGAAAATGTGTATATTCGAAACACCATTTAAGAATCATCAAAACAGTTTCCTCAACCCTGCCGCTGCCTCACCCTGTTCTGCCCTCTTTTGTGGCATTTTCTGTTCTGGGTTCAGTGTGATGCGCATGTGTACAGCCGCACACATATTGGACATGGCTAAAATGGTCGCTGTCTCTCTTTTCTCTCCCCTGAAGACCTTGTGCAAGAGTTTGCACATCAAGCTGCTAATAAATTTTTACTCAATGTAAATGAAATCACATATAAAGAGGATTCCAAGTTATTTGCCCACACCAGTGAAAAGTACGATATAAACATCAGAAATCTAACCTGGCAGATTATGACAATATTCTATCTAATACTATAGACCAATTCCCCGGTTCTCATGCAAAACCCCCAGCTTAATTTCACACACCACTTACTTTTGAGCATGTAGTTGAGAAAACTGCAGCAAAGCCATACACATGAAGCAATATGAAGAGAACAGGATATATTAAAATAATCAAATGTAGCAGCCATTCAGCACTGACTTTTGTAATTTTCTGTCTGAATTGTACACAGTAACTTGGGGATTCCTCCTCCCCCACAAACTTCCCTGTATAATTTGATTATTTTCTAAGCAAAAACATTTTGCACTCATGCACAGCAAGCCAATCTGTCTCTGGGTTATTTGTTTCCACCCTCAGCAAGCACATAATGCCCATAATTTCATCAGAACAAAGCCCAAAAATTAAAGCGCTATTGATATTATTTCAACTAGGCCACAGGTCCTCATGAATGTGTTGCCTGTTGTGATGGGATGATGAGCTGCTTGTGCGTAAAATCGTATCCCCTCAGAGTTTGTTCAAGTCCACAAACCTCTGTCTGTGACAGAGCCCCTCAGACCTGTGTGAGCCCTTTCACCTCCCTGTTGGTTTCCTCTTCAGCTGCTGCGTCTCTCCCAACCTGTGTGAGCCCTTTCACCTCCCTTCCGTCCGATGGCAGTTCCCTGACATCCACCTCCCCTCCAGGGCCCCCTTCACCCCTCTCGCCCCCTCCTCTACGGGCGGTGAGGAGGCAAAACCCCGGAATGAACTTCCTTCATCTTCCGATGTCTCGAACACTTCTCTCAACCTGTTGCGGTTCCTGGTCTCGAAGTACACCTCCTCCTCAGAGTCCATCTCCCCTTCCCCTTCCGAGTCCGGGAATCCTTCCAACTCCTCCCCTTCATCAGTGGTCCCAAAGTATTCCCTCCGGAACCTCTCCACAGGCTGAGGTTTCCTTGGGAACCTTTGATGGAACGTTTCTATCAATACCTCGTCATTGATATCTTCAGCCATTACCCAAGTGTTTTCTGACTCCGGTTCTCCTTCCCACGCTACCAAATACTCCACCTGATCCCCCTTCCACCTGGCGTCGAGGATTTCTGCCACATGGCTGCTGCATTCTCTTTCTTCTACGACCGGTCCCGAGTGGCCAGCCCTTCTCGTCCCCCTTCGTACGGTGACAGTAACGACCTGTGAAATACTGGGTGCAGTTTCATGTGGTTGGGTAACCGGAGCCTGAAAGCCACTGGGTTGACCTGTTGAATGACCTCAAAGGGACCCAACCTCCTGGGTCTTAATTTCTTACAACCTCCTTTGAACGGCACCCCTTGGGTTGACAGCCACACCCTATCTCCCACCCTTATGGTTTCACCTTCCCTTCGGTTCTTGTCTGCCTGCCTCTTGTATTCTTCCTTCGCCCTTTCTAAGTTGAGTTGGAGCTGACGATGGATTGCTTCCATTTCTTCCACAAAATGCTCGGCTGCCGGGACGCTCCATCTCTCCCCTCTCCCCTGGGAAAGCCCTGGGATGACACCCATAATTAGCCAGAAGGGGCTCATCCCTGTGGACACATTCTCGGCATTGTTGTAGGCGAATTCCGCCAGCGCCAACTTTTCTACCCAGTCATTCTCTCTGTCATTGACATAACACCTCAGGTATTGCTGGAGGACACCGTTTGCTCTTTCCGCCTGCCCGTTGGTTTCAGGGTGCCGGGCAGTCGAAGAATTGACCTCCACCTGCAGTAAGCTCATGAGCTTCCTCCAGAACCTGGAAGTAAATTGTTTTCCTCGGTCTGAGACCACCCTCAATGGCACCCCGTGCAACCTAAAAATGTTTTCTACAAATAACTTCGCTGTCTCTTCCGCCGTGACTGCATGCGAGCAAGCTACAAAGTGGCACATCTTTGTTAGTAGGTCTACCACCACCATGATGGCTGTTTTCCCTTTGGACTTCGGCAGATCAGTCATAAAATCTATCGACACTGCCTCCCAAGGTCGTTCTGGGGTTGGTAAGGGTTCTAATAGCCCCGCCGGCGCCCGCCTTTCCCTTTGGCTCGCTGGCATTGCTCGCACCCTCTTACATACTCACGTACATCTTCCCTCACCTTAGGCCACCAAAATTCCCTGGTGACCAACCACATGGTTTTGTGTTGTCCAAAATGCCCCGCCGTAGGGCTGTCGTGCAACTGCTTGAGTACCCTCCCCCTTAACTCTCCTTCAGGGATATACAGTGCCCCTTTGTAATACAAAGCTCCATTTCTTTCCTCGAAACCCCCTGGTTCCTCTCCATCACCCCTAAGACCTCTGAGCTTATTCTGGGCGTATTCATCATTCTCTGTTTCCTCTACCAGTTCTCTTTGTCCCACCAATGCCGCCCCACACACCCAGCGGTCTTCTGGAATGACATGTCTCTCTTCGGGTGCCCCCTCCCCTTCCAAATATTCAGGTTTGCGTGAGAGAGCGTCCGCCCTAATGTTCTCTGGGCCTGGCACGTAACTAATCTCAAAGTTAAATTTGGAGAACTCCTGGGCCCATCTCACTTGCCGTTGGTTGAGCACTCGTGCCGTCCTCCAATACTCTAGGTTCTTGTGGTCAGTGCACACTTGCACCTTATGTTGTGCGCCAATTAGCAGGTGCCTCCATCTCCGGAACGCCTCATGAATGGCTAGTAGTTCTCGGTCATACACCGTGTAGTTCCTCTCGGATTTGTTCAGCTTTCGCGAAAAAAGGCACACGGTCTCCACTCTGACCCCTTCTTGCCTGGCTGCAGAAGCACCGCCCCAATCGCTCTGTCTGATGCGTCAGTTTCCACTCTCATCGGTTTTGTAAATCCACATGCAGGAGTTGTTGTTCCAGGCGAAGGCCCTTTTAGTTCCTCAAATGCTCGCTCCGCCTCCTCAGTCCACACGAACTTCTTCTTACTGCTGAGACAGTCCGTAATGGGCGCCGTCAGGTGGGCAAAGTTTCGGATGAACTTACGATAGAAGTTCCCAAATCCTAGGAACCTCTGCACATCCTTCTTTGTTTTGGGTGTTTTCCATTCCAGCACAGCCTGGACCTTGCCGGGATCCATGGCCAATCCCTTGTCTGACAGGCGATACCCCAGGAATTCCACCTCCTTGGTATGAAACTGACACTTCTCCAGTTTCACCCACA